TCCAAAGACTTGAGTAAAGCTGTTTATCAATAGAAAACATGTTTGTTCCTGGCCGGGTAGCTCAGTTGATTAGAGTGTTTTCCTAACATGCCAAGGTTGTGGGTTCGATCCCCAGTCAGAGCTCATACAAGATTCAACCAATGAATGCATAAATAGATGAAACAACAAATTGATGTTTCCTCTCTCTCTCTCTCTCTCTCTCTCTCTCTCTCTCTCTCCTCTCCCGATCTCTTTCTCTCTCTAAAAATGAATAAATAAATAAAAAGAATCTATATGTAAAAGTCTAAGTGACCATTGCATCCGAAACAACCAAATGGACAACCAAACAGGCTGTGTGGAGTGACCAGGCCGGCAGGGGGATGGGGGGAAAGGGCAGTTGGGGATGATCAGGCAAGAAGGCATGTGAACAGTTAGGAGCCAGTGGTCCCAGATTGTGAGAGGGATGTCCAACTGCTGGTTTAGCCCGATCAAGACTAAACGGGCAGTTGGACATCTCCCGAGGGTTCCCGGATTGGAGAGGGCGCAGGCTGGGCTGAGGGGACCTCCCCAGCCACATGCACAAATTCTGTGCACCGGGCCTCTAGTATATATATATGTTTGTCTAAATCAATATTCTGAATTAATATTGGTTATTCTCAACTTTCAAATATAGGATTTCTTTTTTATCTAAAAATTTACTGAGTTCATATTCTAGTTTAATGTCAGTTGCCCAGATTGCAAGCATTTTTAGTATTTTGTTAGTAGTCTTTTTTCAAGAAATACCTTTTTTTCTTTCTATTTTTTTTTTCAACTCATTCTTCTCTCTTTCTTTTTTCAACTCATCTTATTCTAGTACTGGAACTGTCAGGTTTCGGTTCCAAAAATACCATAAACATTTTAAAGTATAATTTTCCTCTAATTATTCATGAAATTATAGCCTTGGTTTATAAATAGTCAGCCATCCAAGGTACATAAATTGATAGACTAATTAAATATTTTCCCTCTGCATTATATGGGATGCTGGATTTCCAGCAAAATATCTGAAACCTCACTCCCCAAAGCCCTGTCTCCTCTACAAAACTAACTCCAAGTTTTGTGCTCTATGATTTGCAGCATCCCAATTCCAATAAACAAATTCTATATCAGAATTTGAATCAATTATAGCTCTAATCCTATATTATAAAGATGGAATATGCAAATTGACCATCACTCCATCACAAAGATGGCGGTGCCCATAGTCACAATATGGCGCTGTCCAGTTTCCTCAGCCCCGCCCAAGTGCCTACGTCCTTTTAGCCCTTGCTGTGGCAAAGGGCAAGCAGGCCCCTGCAGAGAGCAGACAGCAGGGCCTGTGGCAGCGTGGAGCAGGCAGGTCCACAGAGAGCAGTGAACCACAGGGAGCAGGCCTAAGCATTCAGTAGGACATCCCCTGAGTGCTCCCAGATTGGAGAGGGTGCAGGTCAGGCTGAGAGGATCCACCTACCCCCTCCCCCTCCCGTGCATGAATTTCATACACTGGCCTCTAGTTTTTATAATAATAATTTTAAAAACAGTGGCTTAAACAAAACAGAAATATATTTTTTTCTTACATAATAAGTATGGAGGGGAGCATTTCAGGGATCTAGACATTATTTTTCTGATCCCTAATCTATAAGGTCATCTCAAAACCCAAGATACCTGCTGAGCTCTTGCCATCAGCCCCATATTCCAGTCATCAAGGAGGGCACACACAGGCTCCTCGTGGTTGAATTAGTTCTTTTAAGAAAGCTCTTTCAGAGTTTCCACCCAAAGCTTTCACTTACATCACAAGCCACATGGCACCAAAGAAGTCCAAAATGTGTCTTTAATTTAGAGAGAAGCATTTCTACAAATTTAAGGTTCTGTGACCAAGGAAGAGAGAACAACCTTGGAAAGCAAAGGGCAGCCCCAGCCACAATGATCATTACAGTTTTCTTTACAATAGTAGAATAACAGACACAACCTAAATGACTTAAAGAATAAACAGTTTAAAAAAATGTAGTATGTTTATATGTTAAATACACTCTTGGTGTTTAAACTATTCATGTAGACTGCTATTCATTGACATAGAAAATTATTCATGATACATTTCTGAGATGGGGAAAAGCAACTCAACATTGATCATGTACTCACATTTGTAAAATCACATCTGAAAATATTTCTTTTAACATTAACAATGGTTAGATAACCACTGTGGTTAGTACTTTTTTGTGTAATTTTACTTTGTCCTTTATACTTTCCTACGCTTTGAACTTTTTACAATGACTATGTGATGATCATACGGATGATGACTGTGGGAATAAAAAGACGCTGAATGAAATTGCTACAGGATTCCAGGGAAGGAGGAATAGGGAAACTGAGATAGGAAAGTTAAAACAAGGCCAAAGAGTGTGGGCAGTTTGCAGCCAGCTTGTAACTAACAAGACACCTGAGAGTAAATGGTTAAAAACCTCCCTTGTGAAAGAATAGGGAAAGGGGGAGGGGTTGGGGGGAGGGTAAAAGAAAAAGGGGAAGTTTTACTCCCAGTGGTTGGCAAACTCCTTAGTCAACAGAGCCAAATATCAACAGTTCAACGATTGAAATTTCTTTTGAGACAAATTTTTTAAACTTAAGCTTCTTCTAATACCACTTCTTTAAAATAGAATCGCCCAGGACATGGTATTTTGTGGAAGAGCCACACTCAAGGGGCCAAAGAGCTGCATGTGACTCTGACCACAGCCCTAAGCAGAGGAGCCAGCAGTCTCAAGGCTTGGCAAGATAATGTTAGCAGGTGCTTCTCATGAATTCTGGAAGGTCACAGCAAAGTAAAAATAGGACGTTGAGACTAGATCTATGCCAAAGTATTCAGCAGCAGGATTTTGAAACCTATAGACAAGAGGGTATATCATGCCTCAAACCCTCACCCAACTTACTCTTCAGGTTAGCTTAGAGCTCTTCACAAGCCAGATGTATAGGTTTGCTTACTTGCTTTGCTTTTTCAATAAAGGTGCAGGCTTTAATTGCTTTGATAAATTGGCTTTTCACAAGGCAGTCAAGGTCTCTCGTATAAATTCATTCAGATGAGAAGTCAAGGATCGAGGTGGGGACAGTCCTCTCCCAGTGACTCAAAGGGCTGTCCCATAACACTGCTCTGGTGACAGTGAGAGATGCCTGTGACAAAATTATCTCCATTCATCAAAAAGGTCACCGCAAAACTTTCCATTTGTACAGAATCTTCAGCCAGTGAGATTTCTAGGCTCCCTGTGATACCCATTTCATTCTGAAAATATTAAACTGCCCTGAACATCAGTTTGTAAGTAGCATGGCGATCGCAAACAATAACGAGGACTGTCAAAATCCTTATTTGCTTTCTTGTCTTAGACTTCTAACTTTTGCAAGTCTGAGTTTCGTACCATCTCTACTTCTCTTTCTATGAGTTCTTAGTATAGTATTCAGTAGAAAAGAAATAGGGATTCTATTAATACCTTCTTATGTTTATGTGTTATTGGCAATCACTAATTTTCCAGGTAGTCATTACCCCTATTTTTATTCTGTCAGGTACAATCATATGTGAGACTTTGTCGCATAGGATATTTAAAATACATCCTCCTTTTCTACGTGAAAAGCAAGCCTTTTGCATTGTTCCTGTAATTCTGAAATGAGTATAATAATGACTCCTTTACTAATTTAAAAGAGCATTCTGAAGGTAAGATAAGGTCATTCTAGGAAATGTTTTGCAAGTTAAAAGTAGCATTTATTATACTGGGAGAGGCTGGCTTATCTTAGAATCGAGGGGCTTATGCAACGTTAAGCAGAAGCAGTCTCCTCCGGTGCTGCCCACAGCACCTGCAGCCAACGGAGCCAAACAGGCTGGTTGCTACTTCAAAGGGAGCAAAAAATTGGGGACAGCAGGTGTTACAAGAATGAGCATTCAGTCACTAATCCAGAAAGCCATCATGAAAAACAGCCACAATTCCTTGCATCACCTTCTTGGTAAACCTTAATTTATTGTGTAAATGTATTGCAATAAAGGATTATAAAAAAAAAAATAGGTCATCCATGATGCTCTTACAATATCACTTTGCAAGAAGCTCACTAATTCCAAATAGCTGAGAACTAAGTATTTTAAACTCCTCGTGGAAGAAAAAAAAAGAAATTCCAACAATTAAGAATAAATACCTCTTTTTTTATTTAAAGCAAAAACACAGCCTGCTTATCAAAGGGGTCACTCTGAAAACACACACACACACACACACACACACACACACATTATATAATCTCCTTTGAAATGACATCTGGCTTAACCTCCATTCTCACAGGTGGAGAGAACTGGGGTAGAGCATTCTGTGCCTGCCCTTCGTGGCAGTTGGATTTCCTCTGAATTGGGCTGAATTGAGTTGTGCCTGGGGGACATTAGGGGCTCCTCTGGATTGGGCCTCCTGTTCAACACCTGGTGAAGCTTATATTGCCTTGGTAACCGAGCCTAAACCCTTTCTGAGCTTTGAAAAGGGTGATTGATGCTTATTGATTTACCATCATTTGGGTGAATTGTGATTTTTCTCACCATGTAGATGAGTTTTTCGCTTTTCTTTTTTTCTACTAACGGGATTTGTGAGGTACATACAACTGTGCATTCTTTATAACCTCCTATGTACGCATAGACTTGTTTCCCAACGTGTTGTTTCCATATTTCTCCTGCCCCTTTTGTGAGCTTTGTCCACCTTGAGGGGAGCCTGTGCACCTGGGGTGGAGATGCACAGACAGACCCACCACGAACACTTTTTCAAGAATCAGAAGCCTTGGCGCCGCACTGGGCTTCGATTACTAGTGAATTCAATCACAATCTTCTTATACCTTAAAGTTTCCATCTCTCAAATGTTTTGGGCTTTAAATGTGCCACCAGGGACTTGCTTAGACTTTTTAGAGGAAATTTTACTTTTGTGGTATGTTTTGCTGAAAGCAGTATTGTGCTTTGTTATTATTGTTGTAATAACCACTGACATCGGTTTTCTTCCTTCTCCTAGCTGCGTGAGTTCTGTGTCGTACGTGGATGAACCTAGCCAGCATGACGCTGCCTCTCACCTCACCGTTCAGATGGAAAACACCTATCAGCTGGGTGTGTTATGATATTTTATCACTCTCTTCTGTGTTAAACTTCTAATTCCGTGAATGATGTTTACTTAAACTAATATTTGATAACCGGCATTATCTTCAATGCTAGTACAATGTAAGGAATCATAATTGAGTGATTGATGCTGCTGTAATTTCTCTTCTTTCTTTCCTTTTCTTTTCTTCGAGTATCATCACCCCAAACTTTAATTCCTTACAAAGAGTTCTCCACAACTCCATCTCTGCAGGACAAAAGGCTGCAGTTCTTCATGTGGGGGGCCAGTTTCTCCCTGGGGAGCAGTGTGGCTCCATGTAGATAGTTGGACAGAGTGCAACTTGGCAAGACAAGGGACAAGCTTTTCCTAACCAGGAATCTCAGGGAATGCCCCCTCATTCCCAAGGCCTGAGGCTGGCAGGCTCCTCAACCCCAAATGATTTACAGCTGATTCAGGCTACCTGAGTCCTGGTCAGCTCCCCTCTCCTCCAAGGGAAGAGGTAGGACTGGCGCCGTGGTCCACAAACTTATTAGTCAGCAGAGCCAAATATCAACAGTACAACGATTGAAATTTCTTTTGAGAGCCACATTTTTAAAACTTAAACATCTTCTTTCGCCACCTCTTCAAAATAGATTCACCCAGGCCGTGGTATTTTGTAGAAGAGCCACACTCAAGGGGCCAAAGAGCCGCATGTGGCTTGCGAGCCGGCAGTTTGCCGACCACAGGACTGGGGTAATGGAGAGGAATGGGATTGGGGGAGACTCATTTTAAAGAAATCTGGGATTTGGAAGGGTCACCTGTGTGGAGACAGGTCAGGGCTGGATCTCTTCACCCCATCTGGGGGTCTGCTGGTGCTCATGCAGAACCACTTACGACCCTTCTGGAGGGTCTGCTTTCCTTTGTCAGTGGTTCCTCAACACCAAGCAATTCACTGGGCAGCACTGCTGAATACTGGGTCTATCTGAAGTCAGAAGTCCATTGAGTACTTGGGGGGATTATCTTGTGGAGTTATTTTATATCTACTTGAAATGAAGTGTATATGTAAAACAGGAAATAAAAGAGCTATGCATTAAATTTTATCCAACAAAACCAACCAATGCTGTTGATAGGTGGGGGGAAAAAGCCTTTAAGTCAAAGGCAAATGATGCTAGGTCCCCTGTTGACAGAGATGTTTATCCCTGCACACTGAGGTTTTACATCTTTGAAAACAAAATCTTTGCACCTGCCCCTGAACTCCCAGGGGAGTCCACAGTGAATATCTTTTCCCATTCATGTTTCCTTGTAGACCTACTTGTTTTCTCTCAATGCGTCCCTGCCCACTATTATCTGGATCCATATATAATTACTGCTATATAGAAATTCCGCAGAGACTTAGCAATGACCAAAGAAAGACCCTCTGGGCCAGAGCAGTTCCATCTGTGCCAGTTAACCTCGTGAAAATTATAGACCATCCGCGCATCCCATTAAGCCTTGTAGCTGGGTTTCTACAAGTAATCCCCAAGACTACATGGATTACAAGGCTCCATAATTAGTCAGTCTACTGGTATTTTCATCATGCTGTGGTAGACAATGAATATGCCTGCCACCCAATGCACTTTTACACTTCTTATAACCTTACCCAGTTTTTTGGGGGGAGTCATCATTACCACTTTGGGTCCCTAACATTCTGCTGACGCTGATCCTAGCCTCAGAGATTACTGGTGACTGATTCTGGGATGGCATACATAGACCCTTTGGTTGGTCAAGTCAATCAAAGCCTTGATATTCGACTCAGAAAATGTTTGGCTGTTGAAGAAGCAGATCGGGCCCTGAAGCCTTAAAGAATGTAGAAGCTGTGGCAGCTTTTGCTCGCTTGCCCTCACAGGAAGCCTAAAACCAAGAGAGAATTTACATCCCAACGTCATCGTTTGAATCCTAAGCCCAAAGTACTCTGGGGCTTTTTAGGTAGGCAAGCTAAGTTTAGGTTAGGTTTTCACCCACTCGTAGCTAAAAGATCTTTGCCATTCCATGCCTATGATTTGGGGTTCTACATACTGAAAGGGTTTGGGTTCGATTTCAACAAGTTAAAGGAGCTGAAATATGAAGCCATCTGTTTCTCCTTCCTAGGACATATTATTTTTATGACTTATTTATTCAAATAAATGGGCTAAATTGTCTTATCAGTTTTAGAAGTATTGGATGTTGAACCAAGTTAGAAAATTAGCCTAAAATATGGTGACAAAAGATGGTTTTACTTTGGTTGGTGGGCACACAGTGCAATATACAGATCTTGTAACATAGAAATCCACACCTGAAACTTACATGTCACCCCAATAAATTTAACTTTTTAAAAAGAGGATAGAAAAGAAATTTTTCACATACCTTAATATGTATAATATTTTCCACATATTCTTACAAAACTTGTGTGAATTATTCTCCTATAATTATTCTTTTGTGCTTGACAATTTTTAAGCATTCAACTAGCCATTTTATTAAAAATCAAAAACATATTTCTACTTCTATTTTTTTTTTCTGGATTTATTTTGCATATGAAAGATACTCTGTGGGCCTTGGAAAAGATTTTCTCATATCTACAAAAGGCAATACTGACCAGATTAGTGGGGGTGGGAGATCAGTCAATCACCAGCATTATCGTGTTTAATATTTCACATTGTATAAAAAAATATTTGTATAATCTAAACATATTTTAAATAGTTAACATGTTTGCCCTCCCTTTATCTGAGTAATTATAGCTACCAAGAGTGAGATGAAACATGAATGTAAATTAATGAAATGAAAAAAAGGGAATGATAAAATAAATGTATATATTTCTTGTAATGAAATACCATTTACATATGCTCATTAATTAATTATTGAAACATGTATATAGAAAAAATACAGTCTATAGGATCCAATATATCTGAATTTCAATACTAGTTTTGCCAAATCCTAAATAAATGGTGTTCAAGCAAAGTATTTAGAATCCTTGAATCTCAGTTTCTTCATCTATAAATAGGGATAACAGTCCACACATCAGATGGATATTATGAGAATTAAATGAAGTAATGTGTTTACATTGCTTCTTCATTCATTATGTTATTGCTTCTCAAGATTACTGCCTCTAAGACTTTACCTTGGATTAAGAAAAAGAAAAGCCTTCTATGACATCCAATATAATTTCCTATTAAGTATGGAATGAGTTCTCCATGGTCCTTTTTTGGAGCAATGATTAAAGAGGTACTTGATTCTTTAAAAACACTGACTGAGCAGCAAGTCAGACGAGACTCATTGGTGGCCATATTTGCTGCACATTGAGACAGCCTGTGTGAGGATGAAACCAATATAATGGAAAGTTGACTCTTAAGATGAAGAGAGAGAGAGACATCATTGGAGCTCACCTTCTGTGAGAACATCAGGCATCAGATGTGTTGTTGGACAGAGCCCATGAGTCTCAGCTCTGACTTCAGCCCACCCTGAGGAGACCTCCCTTCTTCCCTACTGACACCCTCACTGATCTCGTTGCCTTCTCAGCACCAGCACTCCCTTTCCTTCCTCAGAATAAGGTAGCAACAACAACAACAACACAACAACAACAACAATGTATATCTAACTAGAGGCCCGGTGCATGAAATTTGTGCACAGGGGTGTGTGTCCCTTAGCCCAGCCTGCACCCTCTCCAATCTGGGACCCCTTAAGGGATGTCTGGCTGCAAGTTTAGGCCCAATCCACCTGTATCGGGTCTAAACTGGCAGTCAGACATCCCTATCACAATCCAGGACTGCTGGCTCCCAACTGCTCGCCTGCCTGCCTGCAAGCCTGATCACCCTCTAACCACTCCCCTTCCAGCCTGATTGATGCCTAACTGCTCTTCTGCCAGCCTGATCACCCCTAACTACCCTCCCTGCCAGCCTAGTCACCTCAACTGCCCTCCCCTATAGGCCTGGTCTCTCCCAACTGCCCTCCTCTGCCACCCCAGTCTCCCCCAACTGACCTCCCCTCAGGCCTTGTTTCCCCCAACTGTCCTCCCCTGCTGGCCTAGTCTCCTCAACTGCCCTCCTCTGCTGCCCCTGTTCCCCCCAACTGCCCTCCCCTGCAGCCTGGTTCCCTCCAACTGCCCTCCCCTGCAGGCCTGGTCATGCTCAACTGCCCTCCCCTGCTGGCCTGGTAACACCTAACTGCCCTCCCTTGACAGCCTGATTGCTCTCAATTGCCCTCCCCTATAGGCCTGGTCTTCCACAACTGCCCTCCTCTACTGCCCCTGTCTCCCCAAACTGCCCTCCCCTGAAGGCCTTGTTCCCCCAACTGTCCTCCCCTTCAAGCCTGGTCATCCCCAACTGCCCTCCCCTGCAGGCCTGGTCTCCCCCAACTGTTCTCCCTTGCTGGCCTGATTGTTCACAACTGCCCTCCACTGCAGGCCATCTTGTGGTGGCCATCTTGTGTCCACATGGGGACATCCATCATTGACCATGTGGCCATCTGGTGTGTCTGTGTGACAGTCAATTTGCATATCACTCTTTTATTAGATAAGGATGAGTGTGGGGGGCAGAGGGCGGCACTGTTGTAAGCACTTTAAAAAGTTCAACTCATTTAACCCTAACAAAAAATATTTGGTCATTATTATTATATCAATTTTGGGAAACTGAGACAAATAATTAATAACTATCTATTCTCTCATCTATTTTTATGGACAAGTTTTCCCCTTTTCTTTGTTTTTTATCCATCAGACCTACTTCAGGTCCTTGATTTTTTATTTCTAAAAAAATGTTTCCCTTCTAAAGAAAAAAAATCTCTCAAAAAGAAAAAAGAAAGAAAGAAAGAGCTTTGGCATTCACATCCCTTGACTCTAAAAGTAGCTTCAAGGAGCTTATTTTGAAAGTCAAAAGCTGAACACTGACAATCTCCTTCTCTTTACATCTCAGCATTCTTGCCTGAACAAGGCAATAATGATTGTGGCTGTATAGGGGGAAAGTCACAAAGGTGAGAAAAGCTCATTACTATAGAAAAGCTCATTCTATTTCAAAATAGAATCTGGTTGATGAGATTATTTAAAAAAATAATAATAATAACCAAAGTGCAGAAAAGACATGGGTCCATCTGGACAACAGGAGCTACTGGAGACAGGCTCACGTGCCCCCAGGAGTCTGTCTCTCCAGCTCCAAACTGTGTGAGCACCTCCTCTCCCAGAGTTTGGATTCCTTCCCACTGTGAGAAATGGGCCTCCAGCAGCTCCTGAGTGTCACATGGCATAACTTTGCCACAGAAAGAGCCTGATCCTCTCCTATTCCCCATCAAGTTTTTTTTTTTTTAAATATATTTTATTGATTTTGTACAGAGAAGAAGGGAGAGAGATAGCGAGTTAGAAACATCGACGAGAGAGAATCATCGATCAGCTGCCTCTTGCACACCCCCTACCGGAGATGTGCCCACAACCAAGGTACATGCCCTTGACCGGAATCGAACCCAGGACCCTTCAGTCCCCAAGCCGACGCTCTATCCATTGAGCCAAACCGGTTTCGGCTTCCCATCAAGTTTTAAATAAAAATTCCAAGAAGGGGCTCTAATTGGCCTGGCTTGGAGCAAGTGTTTCCTCTGGGCCAATCCACCATGACCTGGCCTTGGGCTCAAAAGAGGCAGTGGGAGATCCTAAAGAACCACGTGGTCAGTGTAGGAAGAGTACCAGTTCTTGGAGAGAGAGACGCTGTTTCCAAATGGCAGGGAGGTGTACAAGGCAGACAGGCTTCTGCACCGAAGGAGTTTACTACTTTCTGAAGGCAGCCATGTATATGGTCATCATAGCACATGACCGAGTTAAGCGTCATGTGGGTGATGTAGGTCAAACATAAGGTATGTATGATAGGAGTGCTTGGTAGGAGGCAATAAGAAAGAGAGAGGTATGGATCTAAAGGATGTAACCTACTTAATTTAGTCCAATCTGGCAGTTCATTTAAAAATTTCTTAAACAGAAAGGGGGGAATCATACCCAGAATTAGCCTCATTTCACTAGAATATTTGAGGAGAATCGAAAAGATCCACAGAAAGGGACTCTGAGGTCTAGGGTACCGGGAGCTTGCATACAGACCCATAAAGCAGGAGTAATCAAGACCAACCTTTCACAGGTTCGTAACTGCTTCTCTCTGTCTTGTGGAACAGAGATTCCTGTTGACTAATGATTGGGGTTAATTATTGCACCCATTGGTGTCCCTGTTTTACATGTTCAGAAGCATTCCCCACAGGAATATAAATTTAATTGAACAATTCCTATACCATCATCAAAATAAAAATACTATTGATTGAGCCTCAGGGGGCTGACCTAACTCAGCTACAAGCATGGGCTGGACCCTTCTGGTTCAGTCAGCCAATGGGAAACTTGCTTCAGAAGCCATAGGGTGGAAGGACCATGAGCTGGGTATATTTTTCCCTCCACTCTGCCCATGGGTTCATCTCAGGCTGTTTGTATCCATCCACAGAAGGACATAACTGCTCTCAACGGAGCCTGTCCACATGCCTCTTCTAGGATCTAAGAAGAGTTCCTTTCTCATATCCCTCAAGCCAGGGATAGGATGAGGGCAATACCTTCACTTTCACCATCCTAGAGGTGGTTTCCTTGAGATTTCCTACATCCTGCTCAGACCTCTCAAAGGACTCCCTTAGTAAGGCCTCCTGGAATTGTCTTAGCTTCAGTGCGCCATGTGTTCCCTTGGGCCCTGACTGATACAGTCATTAAAAAGAAACACTGAGAAGATACTGATGACTATTCAAGAAGAATTGGATGTAATTCTTGATCTCATCCATTTATCCATATCAATTCAGCAAACAATGATCGGGCCCCTGTAGCCCAGGCCCTGGGCACATGGTACACATTGTAGAGTGACAGAAAGACAATGGGGTTAATATTCCCAGGAGATACAGGCAAGATCCTGGAGTGCCAGGTAAAGAAGACCCAACTGGCCGAAACCGGTTTGGCTCAGTGGATAGAGTGCCAGTCTGTGGACTGAAAGGTCCCGGGTTCGATTCCGGTCAAGGGCATGTACCTTGGTTAGGGGCACATCCCCAGTGAGGTGTGTACAGGAGGCAGCTGATTGATGTTTCTCATCAATGTTGTTTCTATAATAGTTCTCTATCCCTCTCCTTTCCTCTCTGTAAAAAATCAATGAAATAAATTTTTAAAAAAATAAAAGAAGAAGACCCATCTGAAACTCCTTATCTGAACATGGACTAACTATGGTTAAGAACAGTTGAGTCAGATAAACATGGGGCATCCCAGCTCTGCCACTGTGTGATTCTGTAAAAGTTACACAATGCATTTAAACCTCGCTTTCCCATCTGTGAAAGGGAGATAACAGTAAGATTCACCCCAGAGATTACTGGAAGGTTATATAAGGTGACAAGTATGAAATTCTTATCATAGTGCCTGACGTGTAAAAAATGCTCAGTAAAAGTAGCCATGACCTGTACCATGATTATTAGCTCTACATGTTTGATTCTGTCTTATTTCAGAAGTTATAAATTAAATATTTCTTACACTATTAGCATTGTATTAGGCTCTGAAGAAGGTAAAAATCTGGCCAACCTTATCATTTCACTGGGCAGAAAGGCAGGTGTGCCTTAGGAGCCAAGATAGTGGTGGGGTCCTAGTGCACTGGGAGTGCAGAGAAGGGAGGGATGGTTTTTTATCTGAAGGGAGGAAGAAGGCGATCTAGAGAAGACTTCTGAGCTGGCCTTGAGACACATTAGTGGATATTTCTCAGATGAACATGATGGGAAGGGATGTTCCATATTAAAAGAGAGAGAGAGCAAGAGAAAACGTACAAGCAGCTTTATAAGACAGATGAAGTCCGTGAGGTGAAGCAGCATCGTGCAGAGACTGTGATGCTAGGAGAAGAGGTGCAGGTAGGGTGGGAGCTGAGTGTTAGACCTTGCTAAGGGAAATACCACGGTAAGATCTGGGATTTAAGACCTAGAGACATGGAAACATCTAGCAAACTCTCAAACCTCAGAGAGAAGGTGGAGAGGGGAAGAGATTAATTAACCAATGAATTCATATGGGTTGGGAGAGATCAATGGGGGGTGGGGGGATGTAACAGTTTCAACAATTGAGGTTTAAAAAAAAAAAATGGCCCTGAGAACATAGTAAACAGCAAAAATTAAAAAGGATCTGGGGTTTAGAGCAGTCCATCCCGTTGCTGTGTGGTAAGTAGACAGAAGCAGAGAGAGGTGTTGAGCCTTGGACGTAGGTCATTAATAGTGGGAACTGTTTAGGTAGTCTGTAAATGGGGGAGTCTATTGTCTTATTCTCTGCCAGAGAACTTGACTGAAAGCCTAAGAATACCATTTCTCCTTTAATGAAGGCCACACAGAAGATGAAATACCTCTCCATGTTTCAGAACTCTTAATTAGCCTGTGAGGTGGGTGGGTATGATAAAATGACTTCTTAGCCCAGGCCAGTGTGGCTCACTTGGTTGGACATCCTTCTATGCATCCAATGGTGGCCGGTTCAATTGTGATCAGGGCACAAGCCCAGGTTGCTGGCTAGATCCCCAGTAGGGGGAGTGCAGGAAACAGCTGATAGAGGTTAAGCTCTCATATTGATATTTCTCTCTTTTTTCCAGTGTCTCTAAAAAGTCAATAAACTATTTTTTAAAATAATAAATATGCATACATACATGCGCACATAAATATAAACAAATAAATAAAATGACTTCTTAGGAAGAAATTTTGTCTGTGTTTTCAGGTCCTACCAAACATTTTCCTGTGGCTATTGTCAATCAAATTCTGAAAGATGTGTTAACTAACTACCTAGAAGAACAACAATATGACCCAGAGCTCTGTAGACAGATGGCTAAGACAATTTCTGAGGTAATGTGCGATTTGTCTAAAGAGTTAACTGTAACTAGAATATTTTCAGAGAGCACAACTCCCTACTTTTTGAAGAAGGCAATTCATTTGCAGTAGCAGTTCAAATGCTTATTTATATTTTATTTTATTAAAATATTTATTAGGTCATATTCTATCTCTGTATAAGAGCCTTTGTCTGAAACAATCATTATGGGAATCATTTGCATGTATTTCATTTTTTTTAAAAAATGGCCGAAACTGGTTAGGCTCAGTGGATAGAGCGTTGGCCTGCGGACTGAAAGGTCCCAGGTTCGATTCCAGTCAAGGGCATGTTGTACCTGAGTTGTGGGCACATCCTCAGTAGGGGTTGTGCAAGAGGCAGCTGGTCGATGTTTCTCTCTCATCGACATTTCTAGCTCTCTATATGTCTCCCTTCCTCTCTGTAAAAAATCAATAAAATATATTTTTTTAAAATGTATAAAACTGCCCCATTTATTTTTTTAATTATTGTAAAAGATTTTTTTTAAAAATTAATGATCATTTCTCTTCCCCAAGGCAGCTTTGATGGACATTGTGACCTTTAAATTAATTTAAGTACATTCATTTCTATTTTTATCAATGAAAGTGCTGGCACTCTATCAGATTTTCTCGGTTTGCTTTTTTATAACAAAGTCTTTAATGAGCATTTATGATTAGTCATATTGCAGGAGACTCCAGATCTATGGCCTCTTAATTAGACATGAGCAAGATGGTGTGACTCTAATGCCAACATTCTTTGAAGGGAAGCCATCTTAACATAAATTTTCCAAAGAATATAATAACTCCATTAAATTGTTTTCTGGATTACAGTTTTCTCATGCGCCTGAGGGAAAAAATGTACATTTATTGCTGGTGCTGTCATTTTGTCCCTAAATGTCCTTTCTCATGAGGACAGAGCTTGAAGCAAATCATAGTTATCGTCACTAATAGTTGCTAATCGACAACAATTAGTGACGGTATCTACAATGGATCATGCTATTTTCTTAAATTAAATCGATTCTATTTATGACAATGAATATTTATGACAGTGCAGCTAAGTGAGAACCGTTTTTGTTTTTTTTTCTTTTTAAATTCTAGGTTATTAAAGCCCAGGTCAAGGATTTGGAGATCCCACGGTACAAGCTGATTGTGGTTGTTCACATTGGACCTCGGCGTGGCCAGAGCATCCTGATTGGAAGTAGATGCCTCTGGAATCCCGAAAGTGATACCTTTGCATCTTATGTTTTCAGGAACTCTTCACTCTTTGCTCTTGCGAATGTCTATGCTGTTTACTTTGAGTGACTGAAAATAAGAAATCATAGGCTGTGTCTAAGTACACAAAAGTTTCACTGACTCAAGGTTTGGGAAGGAAATATTAATACTTCCAACAACTGGAAGATTTTGGAGTTTTTTATACACTTTTAAAGGTTGGGGGCGGGGAGCGTAGCATAAGAAAGAATCTTGTTTATCTCAAGGAGGATCTAAATCTTGGTTCTGCTGGATTTTTTTTTCATAGACATAGAGTCTTATTAAATACTGCTTTTGGTACTAATTATTTTAATTACTTTTCAATTAAAGAGCTGGAATTTTCTGTATTATTTTTTAAGGAAGAAAGGTTTTTTAAAAAAAAAATACATGGCTACATACCCTGACTAATAAGCGACAGTAGGATATTTAACATGGCATACACAAATGACTAATGTTAATATGTCTCTGTGCTGCATATAAAAAAATACTGGCTTCCATTTTCTATTTAATAAATTGAGCAGCATTCATTAACTGCAATTATTGTTACATGTACCTGACAGTTGAAACTGCTGAGGTAGAATTAATGATTTCATAACAATTACTGTAGTCCCGCGGGGCTGCTAGATAAAACTGGAAGCTCTTGTGGGCTGCCTGCACTCCACAGAATTGTGGGAGAACTCAATGTGGGCTCTTCAATAATGGAAACATAAAGTGAATAAAGCCTTTTCCAGGCACTGAAGTAATCGTTGTGACATTAAATATGCATGATGCTTAATAGTAAATGTATTTGTAACACATGAAATCATGAATTCGAAAGATACACTGCTTTTAAGTATACACTGCTCGGTGGTGAGCCTTTGAGTAGGTCTTCCTAAGCTAACAAACTTGCCCACAAAATATAGCGCTGGCAGCCCAACACGTCAGACGTGTGTGTTTACTATTTTGTTCTCGTGAATTTACAAGTGACCCAGTGCGGTTTTCAATGGATGGCACTAAAATTTATAGCGCTGAAAGAGCTTATTATTCTGCTGGTTAATGTAGCTTGGGCCATGGATCATTTATTTTTATGGAGCTTTCAGCGTGTAAACTGATGCCGGGCCATTGTTCTTGGATGGTAAGTGGACTGCCCGGAGGACATTAGTTAAAGGTCAAAGACAAATCGTACACATATGGAGAAAATTAGCAACACCGTAATCCAAAGGAAAAAATGATGTGTAATTCATACCAAAAAGAATTTAACAAGCAGGGAAACAGTCGGTTCTTTATAGTTTTAAAATGTACCAAGGTCTCATTTTTCACCCAAACTACGTTTACTTTTAAAAATCGCTTGCCTTCTGCTTGCTCTGGCTTTGAAGGTAGCTTTTCAAAATGAACTGGTCAGTTTTTGTTATTTTCTCTGTTAGAGCCTTAGAGGGAAAATGTCTGTAATAATTTATCACAACCAATATTTGTCAATCTCCATAGACCAGTTTTGAATCTGGATTATGTCATAAAAACAGTAAGTAAATGAGCTTCATATTTTCATTACACACTTGAGAACATCTCCCCACTTGGAACAATAGCAGCGACAATCATAGAGCAATTATGCATGACTAAATAAGAATGAAGGAAGTTATTTGGTATGTAGAGAGTCCATTATTTTTAAAATGGCTCTTTTTTTTCTTTTTTAGTTCTAAAATCTTATCCATGAGATTTTCTTACTATCAGTCCCAGGCTGTGTTAGGAATCAAACCTTAAAACATTATGTGCCCAGCCAGCATGACTCAGTGGTTGGGCGTTAACCTTCACCAGGTTCAATTCCCAGTTGGGGCATGTGCCTAGGGTTGCGGGTTCCTTCTCTGGTGAGGGGCTCGGGCAGGCGGCAGCCAAGAAATGATGCTCTCTTATCATTGATGTTTCTATTTCTCTTTCCCTCTCCCTTCTTCTCTGAAATAAAATTAAAAAAAAAAAAACAACAAAAAACAATCATGATGGCTGTTAAAAAGCAAAAAGGAAGCAGTTTGCCAGCATATTGCCATTTTCTGTATGTAATTCAGATTGTCAATGATGAACTTTAGCAATTTTTAGTAATATAAATATATGTAGTAAAAACTCACTGCTTGTGAGTAACTGGGAAGAATGCTGGTTATCACAAAAAGCCTTGTGGTAGGAAATGTTGATGGATGTGTTAGCTAACACCGAGGTGGTAAGCGCATTGCTTATACAAATGTGTCCAAGCAACATGTCACTCACCTGAAACTTACACAATATTATGTCAATTATATATCCATTTAAAAATTAAACATTTTCTTTTTTTTTTTTAAATGACACTGTAAATTTGAGGGAATGGTTTTACTTTGAAACATCCTGAATTTCCCTGGTACTTTTCCTTCTCGATACTTGTCCTTAAAGTGCCATCTTTCTGCCACCTTTGCTTATGCCTTTCCCTTCCCTGTACAGCAACTTTCTTCACGTTTCAGCATTAAACGCAGGTCTCACCTTTTCTCTAAATTCTTCTCCATCCATTATTTTCCTCCAATTCTCCTCTCATCACTCTCACAGAGCTCCTGATTATCCTCGAGCTGCTTTTTGAATAATAGTTTTGTTTCCCTTACTACATTAGAACATCTTGAATACATGGACCACACATCCTGACAGCACCTAACAATAAAATTTAGTCCATCTGAACTTTTGGAGTAAGAATCATAGGAAGGCACTACACTACCTAACTCCCAACCATGAAGACACTAGTATGCACCACTTAACCCTAGAGGGACTAGTATCCTACCAAGATGATGAGTATACAAGTGAGAATATGATTTTATAAGCAAATTCCAGAATATATTGTAATAAGGGAATCAGGAAAAGATTCCTGAAGGAGGTTGCACTTACCTAGACCATGAAGGGGATAAGTAGAATTTCAACAGACAGAGGAGGTCCTAATACGGCAAAAAGTCTAGCCTAGGTAAAAAAATAGTGTTTATAAAGATAAGCGGTCAAAACTAAAATGGGAAGGACTTGTGGGTGGTAAGCTGCATGTCTGGCTTAGAGAGCAACGCTCCGACCATGGGTAGTCATTGAAGGCTTTTCGTTCAGCTAATGGAAGTTATGAAACAATTTCTTCAGAGAAGTCCACCGGTAGAGATGGGGACACTGAAATGGAAAACAGGACAGTTGCACAATCAGGCACAAGGGAAGAGTACCGTATTTTCTGGCGTATAAGACGACCCCCTAATTTTACAGTTAAAACATGCAAATTATACATGTTCTGTACCCGAAGCTACACTGTGTTCTAGTAAAAAGCCTGCTCAGATTGGCCAGAGTCAGAGAGGCGGTCTATTAAAAAAAGAACTGGTGTTGCCTTGGAAGTGAGAAGTAGTCTTATACAGCGAATATAGGCCTAAACCTATGTTTTAACTGTAAAATTAGGGGGTCGTCTTATACGCCGGAAAATATGGTCAGAGGTGACTTTCAGGGAACAGGACAGGCGGCTGAAGGTGTGGAGCGCTGGGTGTTTGCTGTCTCAGGTCTGAATCCTGCTGTCCAGCCACTAGTTAACTAACCTTAAACAAATTACCAGCCTCACTTAGCCACAGCCGCCCCGTCTTAATGATAATGCTGGTACCTATCTCACAGTGTTTTGGAGTCAGGCCAGTCCCAGGAGACAGAATACTTTTTCAAAGGTAGGGCTATGACGGGCCTGTGAGGTTACAGCCTCTGCTTCCTAAAAACAAGTGAAAATTTATGCTTGCTAGCCCGTAGCAGTACAATGCCTGATAGGAATCCCTCATCAAAGTGGCTCCATTGATAGCAGTTCAAAGTTTTGAGTCCGGGCAACTAGATCAATGGTCCTATTGGCAAAACGAAGGGAGTCAGCAAGAAGTGCTGAGGACTGAAGCACTGAGTTTGAGCGTGTACTTGTTGAATTGAAGTTAATAAGGGGACATTCCTGGTGGAGATGTTCTCCAGCAGCCGAAAAAGTGCAAGTGGAGTTGAGCTACCACATCAAGGTGAGAGGCTGAGACTTGGCAGTCCTCCACATTGAGGCCTGACATCTCCCTCCGGCTTCATAAAATATTCATTAGTATCAGCTTCCACTGCATAGTCAGTACTAAGAGCAAATTATGGATGAATCTGTTCACTCTGGGGATGTCAGCAGGAAACCCTCCCCCAAAATCAATAGGGAAAATTTCCCCCCCGAAGCGAAGTCACTGGTGCCTTCCTTCTTATCTTCACTTTAAAATGTTTCTAGAGGATCTGTTTCTGATACCAGACATTATAGGACATGCAAAGGTTCTCTCAAAAATACGTCAGCCTCTTGCAGCAAGTCAGAGAAAGATAAATATCACATGATCTCACTCATTTGTGGAATATGTCTGTGCTCCTTGTTCACAGGAGGCCATGACCACAGAATCCAATAGATTATGTGTTGCGAAATGAAGCACTACTTCAGCTCATTGATTTAAAAAAAAAAATCATCCAGTATATGGGAGTGATTTAAAAACCAGCAATTGAGAAATTAGAACTTTTAAATCCAGCGTTTTAGAGAATGAGCGCTTGCCTTGTTGGGACCATTACCTGACCTGTCTTTCTAGATCTTATTAAAACACTCATTAAGAAAAAGTCAATATTAAATGGATATTGATCATTTACTCTGCTGTTTTGCTCTCAAATGTTTAAGGAAGTGGCCTGCGCCCACAGCCGCAGACTTTCTCTGGCTTCCACCTCCTGCAATCGTCTCACCCCCCTCATCTACCCGTATTGTTTTCACAAACAGCAGACATGGTTCCTCAGGCCAAGTCTGTCAAACATCCCTCCAGCTGCACTCGCAGCAGCTTCCGAATTCATTTCTTTTGAGCAGCAGTGCGATCTAGGATTTTGGTTTGGTTTTTGTTTTTAGCACAGATTGGACAAACATTTCATTGTAGTTTTGAATCCTGCCCGACTGTGAAGTTTAGGCAAAGTGGCCAGTGTCCTGAGCCTCCATTTTCTCAAAGGTAAAAATGATTATAACAATAACTACTACTTATTACTGATCAATGATCACCACTTATGTTCTTGCCAAGAAGAGGGAG